TTGGACATTATACACAAGATTAAGCCTTAAGTAGAAAAAGGCAAATTTCCATTTTTGCTTAAGTATGCTTTATGTCAAACCAACAATCCTTGAGCATTGGTCCAAGATCTCTTGCAGAAAAACAAATCCACAAATCAGAGGGGCCAAGAGCAATGTATGCAAGCATGTTTGACAGCCTATACAAGCCTGTAACTTCACTTCCACATTTGAACTTCAAGTAGGGAAAAACTTGCAAAACATAAGCAACCTCTCATATCTGTTAACACAAGCTTAGACAAACATTATAGACAAGTTCCATACCTCCCAACAAGCCTAAAACATGACCCTTTCATCACTCAAACCTCCTCATACTCAGAACCACTGTTTTTCTGCAAAACAGGGCAGGTTCTGCATTTTGTAAGCCACAATAAAATTCCATCGTGCGTTTTGTCCCAAGATAGTTCCAACACCTTCCAATCAACTCACCTGAACTATCACAGGCCCCCATTGCAAGTTGTAACACCTCTAACACACTTTGCCATTTTCATTTCAAAGCTCTGCAGGTTGAGTTCTACAGCACGATTCAAGTTGTTTCAAAGCAAGCCAAGCATTGGAGAAGCTTCCTTGGACCTCAGGCAAGCTCAAGAGAAGCTCAAACACCATTGAAGGTTGCTGCATTGTCCAGCTCGAAGTCAACTGAAACAGGTATTTCATGGACTTCTATCTCCCTATTTAGGAATGGTTAGGCTTAGGATTGTGAATGAAATATGTTGTACTCATAGCCCTGAAGCCATACATATGCTTAGTTTTCATTTACATTAATCGTGCTGAGAGAATTTCACTCATGAACTTTCTGAAAAAACTAGGTTAGAAATTAGGGCCAGAGAAATTCTCTCTAGTCTTTGAGAGTTAATCCAAGTTTTTTATATGGTTAAACTCGTTGTTTGATGCTCTACAAGTTTCATGTTGTGAGTTTTGTCAAAAGATCAAAGAATCAGGAGATAGCATTGGAAGTACAGAACGCGTGTGTTGTTTGAAACTGAGGAAGAAGATGAAGTTGCTTGGGCTGGGCCTGAGTTGCTTTTGCTTTTCACACATGCATATTCAGTTTGCACCCCCCTGGCCCATTTGTTTGCCTATTTGTCATTTTTTGCATTTTATTTCATTTTTGATTTTAGTATTTTATCTTCTAACATAAAAAATACCTAAAAATTATTTTCATAAATTTTTTATATTTATTTAAAATTAATTCTAATTATTACTAGTATAAAAATATTTAAATGCTTTATATTCTTTTTATTAAAACCTAAAATAATGTAAAAATATATTTATTTTCATTTATTATTTTTATTCACATTTAAAAACATTTTCTTGAATATACACATTTTTTATAAATAATTAATTTTTTATCTTTATACATTTAATGTATTTAATACCTATATATTTTATTCTATTAAAAAAGGAAAATAAGAGTAAAAAACATCAAAAATAACACATGTTTATTTTTATTAATATTACATATCAACAATACCTCTTTACAATATACTTTTATTTTTTGTACAAATTGATATATATATTTATAAATAAATAATAAATAATGCTATTTATTTAAGAAAATTACGGTTTTTGCCCTAAATGAAAAAATAATTAAACTTGACTTTTTTCTTTATTTATTTTTACTTCACATATTAAAAACACTCTTTTTTTACATACATAAAAATCATTTTGTACATAATACATTTTACTTATATTTATTCATTGTATTTATTTCAATTATTGTACATTTAAATAGTGTATCTTATACATTCAATTTGGTTGTAATAGTAATCTAGGATTTAATTTCTTGTCAAATATCCTCAATTCAAATTTGTACCCCCCTCCCTATATCATGTTGTAATAGTGTAGCATTTAAATTCTCGCACATTTAAAAGCTTTCAATTGTGCCATATTTAGACCTAGGGTTTGTATGCAATTAAAAACCAACAATTAATTTGACCTAATCCAAGATAAATATGCATGAAAAAATAAACACAACGCACCCTTGCACCCCTAGGGTTACAATCCACTTTTTGCCTTCAAGAATGGGCCATGGTTGCATATTGAGTACTTTGGAAAAATAAAAACAATCAAAAAGATCATAGTCCCTCGATGACGCTATCTGAGTTACCTAAATAAAATGATCAAGTCCCTCGAGAAAATTGCCAAAGATACTTGATACTATTGTCATCATGGTCTATACAATGACCCGCGCCTGTCCCGTTAACATCCTAACACAAGGTTGTCCACCAAATACAATGGTGGAACAACATTGTTAAAAGGGTTAGAAACATAAGAAAGATCTTTGAATAAAATAGGGTAGATAGCTCCTAGTTACTTGATCAAAAGCTTACAAAAAACATTCTTGCTACTTTCAAAACACACTTCACAATACAATTTCAAAACCCTACTTTCAAACATTGAAAACTTTTCAAAAGACAAAAACATCTTTGTATACATTCAAACAAGAATCATTACAAAGGTTGCCACAACGATGGCCTCTTTTCAAAACATCTTTCAAAATCGCACACAAAGCACCATTTCAAACAATTGAAGAGCACCATTTCAAACAATTGAAAAGCAAAGCAAGTGATCTAAGCAAGTAACTAAGAGCCCATGGATAACCATGGATAGACAGGGTGCTAATACATTCCCTTTCTATAATCTACTCCCCGAACCCAAGAAAATATCTCAAAGGTCTTTTCTGTGCTTTTTGACCTTTCCTTAGGATAAAATAAAAAGTCGGTGGCGACTCTTGCTAAACCGAAACATTTGCGAACACAAACGCAAAATCCCAAGTCAATTCTTCCACCGTATCACACAATCCAAATCCAAGTTTTCTTTCTCTTTCAATTTCGAATCTTCATGACAAATTCAAACCACTTTTAAAATGATAGATGCCATCTTAGTTCAAAATTTAGTCCCTCAAGAAACTCCTCAAATAAAAACATTAACCGATATGAGAAGAATTCCTTGATTTCACCCCTTAAACCTCTTGATAAGCATTTGACTTGTAGAAGGAGATAAAGCTCAATGTGATCTTGAAGCAAAAATCCTAGTTTCCTGAAAACACTGAAACTTTAATATTGCACAACCACTGAACTCTTGGACCTCAGGTGTCTTTATTCAATGAAATGCATGATATGTAAATGAACTAGTGAAGATGATGTAGATGAAATGCGAAGTCTAAGCCAGACAAAAGTAAAAGGTAAGACAAATTTAGGGTATGACAAAACTAGAAACAAATAATTTCACAAACTACAAACAACAACTTGACAACGCTTAATTTCTAAACAGATCGTGGCCCAACTTTTCCAACAGCTCTTTGCTCCGGTCATCAAGATGCTCCTTTGAACTTAGTTTCATAAACATCTTCATCTTCTTAGCCTCAGTACTTTCTTTCAACAATTAGTTACCCTCCTCTTGCCTCATGGCTATTTTGTCTAATCGTTCCAACTTTTTCTCCTTAAATTGTTTGAATTCATTCCATGCTTCATTGACCGCTTCCAAGACTGCCCCCTTGCTTCTTTTTTTACCCTTTTTTAGCTGCATCCATCCCCATTGGACGAGCACTTGATCCTACAGAGTTAGAATCACTTGCATCACTCTCGTGGACTCTCTTAGATCCGCTACTTTTAGATCCAGTATTTTCTCCTACCTGACTACCATAACGTGGTTGATCACGGACAACGAACCATTCTGACATTAAAAGGAAATATCTACTCTTACCACTTGAATATAATTCATATGCTTTTGCCAATACATCCTTCTCCGACCACCTTCATTGTTGCATATGCTTTGTGTTATCATAAGTGTCAGTCCATTTATTAAGTATTTTGTTCGTGTAGTTGTAATGATTTCTGCATGCAGCTCCATCACGGGGAGGATCAAATGAGCAATGCTCATTACAATAATCAGCAATTTTCCCCCAATATGAATCACTTTTTTGATTTCTCCTAACAACAATGTTTGTTCCATATTTAAACCACCCACTAATTAGAACCAAATTTTGATTGTTGTCCATTTGGAGCTTTTCCGACGTATAGGAATTGAATCCTCTGCATTTTGAGTGGCTCCTTGACACCGCTCATGGCACCAAGAACCGTTTGTGTAGAAAATTCAGGAAATTCATCAAGTCCAACATTCAGAACATTTTCATATCCCATTGGAGTAGAAGAATAATCAGAGGGTGATTGAGATGAATATGACATCATTGATCTATAATATGAACGATAATTTGGATTAGATGACGACATTATGAAATTTAGAGGAAATCCATAATTTGGTATATTTTAGGGACCTTGTTGGTTGGAAGATTGATTTTGAAATATATAGTTGTTGGAATTTTGGTAGTTGAAAGAGTAATTAGTAGAATTTTGGATGTTAAATGAGTTATTGTTGGAATCCATTTCACTAAGATGTTTAGAGCTATGAACAAGAGTTTATGAGGCTAAATAGAAAATTTAGAGAGAAAAAATGGATTTTTTATGTGTCCAAATCTAATGAACCGAGTCTCTATTTATAGAGAGAAAAAATGATGAATTTTGGTGAAAATAAAAATAAATAAAAAATTAATTTACTATAAAATAATTAAAGATTTTACGAAATATTATATATGGCCCCCGCTCCCTCCTCATTCAACATATTAAATGTTTTCAACACGAATTAATTCACATCATTTTCAACACTTCGATCAACACTCCATTATAAACATTTAACTATTGAAAAAAAATTCAACACTCCCGTTACACATAGCCTTACATCATCGATAGGACCAATACTCATTTACTCAATAACAAATCCCCTTACCAAATGCTTACAAAGTTCCCTACCTGACATGAACTAAATTAAAGTATTTGACTCTCTTTGCTATGCTTCATCCCTCCAGGACCACAGAACTAAACTTTCTTACAGAGCAAGAAAATGTGTATTCCTAGGCTATGCCTTTGGCTTTAAAGGATTTGTCCTCTTAGACCTCTACTGAAATGAATATATTCTTCCCTATCATAATCATTCATCATTTGCTCCTCACTATTGGGTGTATTTTACTGACTTGTCTAACAAGTCAGACTCATCTCTTAATCAAAATCCTGATACATCCAACACCACACCTCCTTGCCTCAATAACCAAACCACACCTACGATTATTGAAGACACACAACCTCTATTTCCAATGCCACTGAACATATTCCCACGAGAATTCCATCCCGAGCCAAGCATCCACGCCTCCTTTCATTATGCACCTCATCAATCATCAACAGATACTCCTTATGCATTATCTAATTTTCTTTCTTACTCTCAATTGTCTCCTTCACATTGTAACTATAGCCTTTTTATCACCACTCATTCTGAACCAAAAACATACAATGAAGCAAATAAAATAGAATGTTGGAATCCAGCCATAAAAGTTGAGTTGGATGCTCTTGACAAAAGAGATACTTGAAAAGTTGTTGATCTTCCAGCGAATTACTTAATAAGGTGGTACTAAAAAAAACTAGTACTCTTTTAATCAATTTGTAAATTCACTATTCCACATTTTCAACAACAAGAACAGAATGTGGAACATTTTTGTAATTCTTCTGATACCCATATCAAAATACAAAACTACGCAGAAGATCAAAGAGAAGAATAAATATGAGATAACTTAATTCTACTAACATTGCGTACACACTTTAACTTATAGTTTGGGGCCATATAATAACATCTAACAAAAAACCCGGTTCAACATTTATGACATAAAAGAGGGGAACCAGACCAATCCAAACCAAACCGGTTGGTTCAAGCACCAGGCGCTGCATCCTTGACCTTACTCTGCAAATACCCGCCATATTCTTTTGCATAATCTTTAACATGTGCAGCCGTATCATAAATCCGGTGTCTAGCGTAATCAACCCGGTCCGAACCGGGCGGGTGAAGACCTCTAAAGTAACGGTACAACCAAGAGGAAGCAACCACAGCGATGAGGCCAAAGCCACAGATTGACAAGAGTCCAGCGGTTAGGAGGAAGAAAAAAGTACCGGCCGGGACCCATATCGGGCTGGAAAGGATGATCAAGGGTGAGAAGAAGATGAGAGAGAGAACGGTACCAGCTACGGTTAAGCTTGTGAGGAGGAGGAAAGTGGATCCGGTAACGAGGAGGGTTAAGATGGCAGCGAGATGTGTTGAGTTTGGTGTGTGAAGGTTGTTTTGAAGCTTTCTTAGAAAGACGGGTGGTGATGAGGTGGCGGTGGGTCTGTATGGTTGGGGTGGGGTTTGGTTGAGATCAGCCATTGAGAATGTGGTTTGTTTGAGAGAGAGGAATGGAAATAAAGGGAGAGTGTGTGTGAAGTTAATGAAGGGACAGATGTGGGGTTGGTTTCGTTTGGTGACATGCAGGTGATATACGTGGATGGAATGGAGGTAGGGAATGGGGTTTTGCTTTTGGATGGGGTTCCCTCACTTCAGGTGGATCATGCCATTAGACTCTTGACTTTTTCTGTCTTTCATTTCCAATTCATTATGGAACACTGAATAAAACAATGCATGCATTTATTTTTATATTACAAGTGTATCACTTATTTTCTCTCAAAACTATTGATTTATTAAAATGAATTATCATTAAACTATCAATAATATTTTTACTTAAAAAAATTTACATTTACAAAAAATTAAAATAGTAAAAATTTAATCTTTCAACTAATTCATCATACTTCCACCAAATGCTACCAAGTATGAAGTTCTTATTTGACACTTTTTCAACTTTCACTTTTTTCTTCACTTCTCACTATCGAAGAAAATCTATAAAAGAAAAGATCATGGTCACGAGACCAAGAGAAGGGTAAGGAAAGCAATTACGTAAGAGAAAGGTATTAGCACCCCTCATGTCCGTTATACTCAACGGGATCCACTCTTGTTTTAATCAAATAGTGTGTATAATCTAAAACTTACAAGCTAAAGGGATGCGTGAATGAATTGTTAAAGAACAAACAGAAAAGTTTGTTATTATTATGCTCGCCTCGATTTCGAAACCCCGTGCCTACGTATCCCCTCGTGCAATGGGGAATCAGAGTATCGTAGTTCTTCTCGAAAAGGTTTATTTGTTGATTGATTTTTAAATGAAAAGATAAGTTGTCATTTTTAGGAGAAGACTCGACTAATCGTCCACAAAGTATGTGAAAGAGGGACAATGCATCAACATGTGGGAGAGTTTGGAAACACCTCTAGTACTCAAGTGGAAAAGTCAACACTTTTTTTATTATGACTTATGGGGGTAGGAGAATGACATATTAACTATGAATGGCTCATGTCTAATCTTGAAAAAGTTTTAAAGAGAAAAAAAGGTGTACAAGGACACAAAAAGGTTTGAATGAGGTAGAACGTTTTTTAGTTTGAAAAAAGGCTTTGGTGATTTGAACCACATTAAAGACTATAAATGAGAGAAAGTACAAGGTTAGAAATGTACCGCCTCATACTTCTCTTAATACTTAAGGCTCATGACACATGGTTCGCCTCTTTATTGTTAAGTGTTTTTGAGATTTGATAAAAGAAAAAGAAATTTTAGTTTTAAATGCAATGTAAAAGGGAGAATAAAATCTAAAGGGAAAACTCAAGTCCTAATATTGTCATGCAATATGGTCCTAGAGTTAGGATATCAAAGGGAAAACTACCTAAAAGTTAATATGCATCATGGACCTAAGGGAAAGGATTTAGGGAACTTCTACCTAATGTTATCATGCTTGGTTTAAAACCTAAAATCTATTTAATTCACACTTTGAACAAGATGGAATTAAACTCCTAAGGATACATGTGAGCACAAGCAATCAACAAAGAAATAAAATAGTGATGTCGTGATCTTAGCTAGGGTGCAAGACTGGGTGACTCTTTGTTCACAATAAAGCAAACAAAAGAACGATGTTGTGATCTCAGCTATGGTGCAAAACTGAGTGACTCTTCATTCACAATAAAAAAAATATGAGAACAATGTCATGATCTCAGCTATGGTGCTAGACTGAGATCATTAATGAACAACACCACATAAACCATGAAAACAATGAAAACTCAATCACTAAATCATCATCAATATCCAAAACAAAGTGATTCTCATGGATGTAAAAGAGATTATAACTTATGGATCGAACATGCTAAACCGATTTTCACAACTTCTAACATTCATTCCATTCATCAAAACCAAAATCTCATGGCATTAAACTCAAATTACTACTCAATTCAACTTCAAAACATGAAAATCAAAATTCAAACAAAGCTTTTATCATCTTATTGGTATTCGGGCAACAATAACAAGCAAGCAATGATACTCAATAGTTTCATCTCAAACATATTCAAAACAAAATGGAAATCAATTCAATGTCACAACCACTTTTATCATTCAAAATCAATCCAAATGAACCAAGAATACCATAAAACCTTCAACTTAACTCAATCAACATGGTAATGACATCGAAATAATTATTCAGATTTGACACAAATGCTATCAAAGCTTCATCATAAACTTAAACCTGAATAACACAAATAATGTCACCAAAATTTACTATTCAGAGCTAACACATATGTTATCAAAACTCATTCAGATTTAACCCAAATGACACAGCAAATTGCATCAAAAAATAATGCTCAGAGCTAACATAAATGCTATCAAAATTCCTTCTGATTTATCCCGAATAACACAAATAATCCAGAAATTATCAACACAAATTTATTCATAATTAATAACACAATCTAGAAATTAAACCAATTTTATTCACTCACAATCCAAAAAATTAAATCAAACTCACAAAATAGGGATGATGAAGATATAGAATCTTACCCACTTGAAGAATGGTGGTTGAATGAAGTTGTTGTTGAACAAAATGAGTTGATCGGAAATGGAGTTGTGTGGCCGGAAGTGTGGTGCTCGGGCAGAAGAGAGGAAGAGACTGGACTGAAGGGAGTGATGGCTGGAAGGGGAGGGATGGCAGACCAGAAAGGGTGACCGGCTGGAGAAGAGGTAAGTGACAGAGGTAAGGTGGAGGGTTGGAACGTTGTTGTTCACAAAAAAGAGTAGGACGTATTTTCTGCATTTCTGTTTTTCACTCTGCTACCTTTCTCAAAAAATTAGAGTAAAAATAAATACATTCAAAAATATTTTTGTTTCAATTTTTTTTTAATAAAAAAAGATATCGGAAATAATCAAAAACGATAAAAAAAAGAACGCTTAATTAATGGAAAAAAGGAATGAACACATTAAAATAAACTACAGGTCATAAAGTTTAATAAAAAAGACTGCAAATAATCAAAATCGAGAATAAAACTAAAATAAAAATACTCAACTAAACAGACGATAACAGTTAAAAAAGTGACTGCAAATTGCACCGAAAAAATAAAGCGAGCACACCGACATGATCTACGCGCAACGTAGATTCTTAAATCCGTCGGCTAAAGATGAAAACTTGAAATATTGTACCTGTTAATTTTCTGCAGTGTCGAATCCCTTTTAAGAATTTTCCTGTAGAACCGAAATATCAATATTATTGAAATATAATCAACTTGGTGCAATGCATGAAGCTGTGTAAAGAGATAGAAATGCATGAAGTGAGATATCATGTATTTTTAACTCTAAAATGATGCCAATTTTGATTTAAGTTGACTTTTGGTCAACCTAAATGCATGAATGACCGACTAATGATGCAAATGTGATTATTGAATGACCCTGGGGCCAAAATTAGAGTATGACAGTTTCCCCTATTTTATCATCTTTAACTAGATAGCATCATAGTGAAAGGTGATTAAATATAGAAAGACCCCAAATTATGTCTCTTTGATAGAAATGGAATGCAATGTAATGCATTGACTCTTTTTTGATATTTTTATATGATATGATGTAAATGCATAGAATAAGATACTATGTGGGGAAACTTGAAACAAGAAATTTACGGTAGATTGAATGAGACCATGTGGCAAGACACGCTGGGGAACACAAGCTATTTTTGGATATTCGTCAAGAAGACAAAGAATATTCATCAATACATGGAAAGACGGAGACAATGCCCTGAAAAGGCAAGTAGTGACACCCAAGAATGGCATTAGATAGAAACTACAACTAAGATAAAGGTGCGCCTAAAAGATGTCTAAGAATGGCATTGAACTCTACTGGGGATACATCAATCAACATCCAAGAGTGACATTGGATGGAAATGAATCACGATATTTAAGAATGGCATCGAATGAGGCAAGAAACCTCTGGAAAGTACATCATAAATGTATAAAAAAGAATTAGATGCGAAATGAGATCAAATCTGAAGATACATCATAGTCATCCAGGAATAACATTGGATGGCAAAGATAACGATATCCAAGAATTGCATTGAATAAAGTGAGAAAGGGGCTTTCAGGAATGACACTAGAAGCAAAGGTAAATCACTACATCCAGGAATGGCATTGAATGAATGTGAGATTACAATATCCAAGAATGTCATTGAATAAAGTGAGAAAGATGCTTTTAGGAATGGCACTAGAAGCAAAGGTAAATCACTACATCCAGGAATAACATTGAATGAATGTGAGATCACAATATCCAAGAATGCCATTGAATAAAGTAAGAAATGGGCTTTCAGGAATGGCACTGGAAGCAAAAGTAAATCACTACATCCAGGAATGACACTGAATGAATGTGAGATCATAATATCGAAGAATGGCATTAAATAAAGTGAGAAAGGGCTTTCAGAAATGACACTAAAAGTAAAGGTAAATCATTTCATCCAGGAATGGCACTGAATGAATATGAGATCACAATATCCAAGAATGTCATTAAATAAAGTGATAAAGGGGCTTTCCAGAGTGGCACTGGAAGCAAAGGTAAATCATTACATCCATAAATGGCACTGAATGAATGGGAGATCACAATATCAAAGAATGACATTGAATAAAGTGAGAAAGGGCATTCAGGAATGGCACTGAAAGCAAAGGTAAATCATTACATCCATGAATGACACTGAATGAATGTGAGAAAAGACATCTAAGAATGGCACTAGAGTATAGAGGAAGAAAAGACATTCAGGAATGGAACTAGAGTAAAGAGAAAGAAAAGACATCCATGAATGGCATTGGAGTGAGAGAAAGAAAATACATCCAAGAATGGCACTAGAGTGAAGGAAGACAAAGACACCCAGGAATGGCACTGGAGCGAAAGGAAAATAAGACAGACACATCCAAGAACAATATTGGATACAACAAAAAATATGACACCCAAGAATGGCAATGGATGAAAAAAAGAGGAATTGGATACCCAGGAGTGG